GGCTTGAAAGGGAGAAAATGAGAAGAAGAAAAATAAAACACAAAACTTCTGGGAAAACCCAATAACAAATACACAAAACAGCCTTTAAGCGTCGGGACGGAACTGCAAGCATGTGCTACTCACTGCAGCAAACAATGAGAAAGCAGTTCTGGCTTGGGTCAAAAAGGTCAACAGGGGGAAAGAATTTCTGATCTCTTGGCTACCCTGACTGCCAAGAAGAGAGAGGTGCCAAGCATCCCTTCCTGCAGACTCGCTGGCCTTTGAAAATGCATGATTCCAAACACTGTTAGATGTATCATGTGCACCTGAGGATTTTTTGAAAGGATTCTAATCACTCATTTAAAAAGATAAAGAGATAAAGAGACAGGGCATGGGGGGGGGTCAGGGTGGGGGGTGGAGATTGGGTATGTGGGGGTAAGAAGGAAGAGAAACAACCTAAACAAAAAGTTCTATTCTCTTATCCAAATGTTCAGCTCTGTAAGAGACCCCCGTGTCAGCTTTCCCCCCTATATCCTGTACATCAAGAATGAACCTCATTTTAAAATAAAAACAAGCTGGAGGCACACAGCAGCACAGACTCAAGCCCTTTAATTATTGGCCTTCGGTAACAAAAGATCTCCATTCTGGTCAACTCTGTTGAGAGGGGAGGGTCAACCCTAGATTCAACGGAATCCCGTTAAATGATTGCAAACACAGACTCAACTTTGCTACTGTGCGGAGCCAGGGAAGAACTTTGCAGGACCCTGTGTAAAGGAGATGTGACGTGGAGTCTATTTCAGATCAAACCCATTGGCACCGCTACTGCCCACCTGCTAGCCAATGAATTTACTGTGCTTTTCGATAAACCCAAAAGACAACCCCAAATCGGCTTCAACTGCATTCGATAGATTGTGGAGGAAAGGCAAACGCCAGCCCCACTCTGTGCTGTCCTTCCCTCTCTTTCCTGTCATTGATTAAGCTGCCGGGATGTGCCCCTGGGTTCCTAATTAGGTGTTAGTATCTTCCAGCAACTTACACCTGAGGTCACTACTTGGTGGCTCTGTTCTCTCCAGTGACAATCCCTGTAATTCCCACAGCTGGTTTGATTTTTTTCCCTCTCAGTGCGTGAATCCACTTCCCCCACCTCCTCACACTGGGTATTTGTTCCCATCTTGAATTATAAGGGCTGACAGCTTACTTGTAATTCCTGTAGATGTGGGAAAGACAGGTACACCGAATCTTCACACTGGCTTCCCCCTGTCCCAGCAGTTCCCAAATATTGCAGAAAGGTGACAAAACAAAAACAGAAAACCCCAAAACCAACCCTTCTGCTTAGCTCATTTATTGCTGATAATTTCATTAGGTGCCAGGAAAAGCAGAAAACGCAGACACTAAACAACTTCACAGTCATTTTTGGATTGAGAAAAATGAAAACCCAGCGAGCGGCATGTGAGAAGAGTTTCAGCGTCGGCATCTGCGAACGGCAGCAGTAAATCTGAGATTTTGGCAGGTAACTGAAAGCGTGCTTTTAGAACGAAAGCTTTTTACAGAAGCAGCATCTTATTTTAAACAATGAGCACCACACTTTTACAAAAAGTCCTTCTTCTTTTCTTCCCCCCTAAATACAGGTTTCTTTAAGTCAGCGTCTTGAGTAGTATCCTAGGGTCAACTGAAATAATAAGAGTTCATATGGCATCATTAGGCCTATTACCCTGTACCTGGTCTTCTAGGATGGATTAAATCAGCTCAGAAGGGGGCCAGTGCCCCCTGACAGGAAGACATCAGACAGGCTTGAATGGCAAGGGGGCAGTGGGGTGGTTATGAGGGGCATAATCTAAATAAACGAGCACCTGCAAACAACTGGGGAAAGTAAGTCTGAGTAATAAAACACTCTAAACGGAGTTATTTCCCCTTAAAGAATCTCAGTGCCAACAACTACATTGATGTAATTTGCTGAAGACGTACACCCAGGGAGCTTGGGATGGATTGGTCCACACGAGACAGCATTCTACTCCGGGCTGCCGTAGCAGCGGGGGTGGGAGATCCGCTTTAAAAACTGAGTATTTTAGGAGCCCTGAAGGACTGTAGTGTGGACAAGTGTCAGGACCAGTTCTCACTTGGGCTTTTCAAACAGAGGTACCAAGAAATCAGAACACACAGTCTGTGTTTTCACATGTCCTGTGCATGAGAACACCCGATTCACCCTTTCTGTTCAAATGTTTTGCTGGACTCTGCGAGGGGAACAGAGCTATGACATCTTTCATTTTATGTTTGAAATAGACGGCTGTGCTAAGGCAGCCGCACTTGACACCAAGCCCGGCAAACCACGCTTGCCTTTGACTTCTTGATAACGATGGGCAACGTGGGAGGATGAGTTGTACAAAATGAAAACAAGATTTCTGAGTAGCTTTACTGGGATTTTTTTGTTGGTTGGTGATGGGGTGTTCTCCCAGATCATACATAATAAAGCCTTCCTTACATCTGTTTGACTTCATATTGGCATAGATACAGTCAGGGTAAAACACGTCGACTCAGCTAATTATAAGACTCAAAAAAAATCAGATGGCTACTTAGGACCCAGGAAGTGCTCTCTATACAAGTTCCATCAGCTTCTCCCACAGATGACAGGGAAGCTACAAATGGGCCTCTCTCCTATGTATGTATCCCACCTGCCTTGCCCCGAGGCACCTCTGCAAGGCTTGGTTGCCTCCAGATGGGCCTTAGCCAATGTCGGAAACATCTGAAACAGGCAGAGCGCAGACATGAGCCGGCTAAGATCCATCCCCACCTTCTGAATTAGTGTTTCAGCACACAAGACAAAAGAACGTATTTGAAGATCTACTTTCCCCTTTGGTGCAAATCGCGGGTAGTTGTATTACCACTTTTTCACAACTCAAGCATAGAGACAGCTCCTAAGGTGAATTCCAAAGCCACCCTCAGTATTTGAGTCAAGCAGTGTGTCCCTTGTTTCCGTGGCAATGATGCTAACATCACATCTTATCCAGAGATGCTACCATGAGAAACTTTATATCAAATGGCAATGCATGGACTGTTGTCCCTGTTGCTATTCATGTTAGAAAACCTTTTTTTAGAGGGCACAACCTGGATACATCATGCATTTCAGTAGATTGGCTTATGCTCAGCTGTAACATGGCTCTTGGAAAATGTTAGTCAGGATGAAGGAATGATACAGAAATGGAGAATTTCATTTCTTTTTCAATGCCTCTTAGGATGAATACTTTGCAATGTGCCCAAGAACCACGTTATAATCTACACTGTGTTTCTGAGAATAAATGAAAGGTAATTAAAAGGCTCCCCAAATGGCTTGCAATTTAATTTTCATACTTGAGCCTAGAAAATTGCCAGCAATAAGCCATAAGCTGTATGTAGTTGAAATTAGCAAGAGAGAAGAAAGCTGATGGTTCTTCCTTTTTGGCTTCTACCTGAAATCCCTTAACCAAAGTGACTTTCTGAGAACAAACTAAGTAACTCTCCTAAGAGTATCAAGTATTGAGCTTTTCATAATATCAGCTTATAATATCTAATATCACAGAGTAACTTTGAGGAATTGTCCTCCTCCTCCCCAAATTCCCCATCTGGCCAAATGTCTTTCTCTTCCTTGCTCTCACCTGTCAATCATGTTCACAGCTGAAATTTGATTTCTCTCCCACCAGTAACCTTATATGAAATATTACCAGGGGGGGGTCAGGACCAGTGTGAACCTTGCTTTAAAAGTTCATTAACTCTTTACTCAGAATGGATGGTTTCAATGTAACAAAACCTGCCGGAAGGCCTATATCATCATATTTAATAGATGGTTTCAAATTGCAATTATGAAGACAGGGATAAATGAAAGGAATAAAAAAGAAAGGAATACAGTATGGGTACCATATGCACACACAGGGACACTCAAATTAATCCCAAAGGTATATACTCAGTTGCAACCTATGCAGGAGAACCATTAAAGAAAATGTTATTTTGTATAAGGCTAGAAAAGAAATCACGTTAAACAGACACAACCCAGTTATTCAAAGACCCTCACGACAGCAGCATGTAAAAGTAAGCCATCAGATATTATCTTTGAACAGTGGTAAAAAATGGGGTTCTGTTTTTGACACTCCCCGTTTACTGGGTCCTTAAAAGTGTCTCCTTCGCAGAGTAGCAATTTCACAAGGTGACTTTTACCCTCCCTCCTCAGTTTTTCTAGAAACCAAAAGCTATAGTTCATGCAAATTTCTCAGCAAGCATATTTTTAATAAAAAAAATCAAACTTCGTTCCATTAGCCAATAAGAGGTAACAAGACCGCATATGATGATGACACTAAATAATTATTGGTGTAAGAGTGTTGGTCTAGCTCTCTAAACCAAGAGGATCCATAATTAAATTCACACTGGGATACATGTAATTGAAAACCAATTTGAATAGCTTATTTCATTTTTTTTTTTTTTTACTAGATGGAAAATCAGATTTCTGCCTCCCACCCTTCTCCTCCCCTCTCCTGCCTACAGTGGGAGTGGGGAGTGGCTTTCAAGTCACATTTGGACACAGAAGCTGGGACAGAGTGTGAAATTACACTACATTTTCCAAACATGAGTATGGAGTGAATTATAGAAGACTATAAATTTGGAAAGTTTCCGAGGCCCAGGTAGAGCTGGCCATGGGCCGTGGAAGCTAGTTGTACAGATTCACCTAAACTGTCTGACATTCAAGCAAAAGGACTGGCTCTGCATGTGTCAAGAGATTCATGCTGGTTAAGACAAAAGATCTGAGATTTACTCAAACTAGATTAATCACTCTGTACACCACACTTATGTAACGAAATAAATGGAGACGTATATGCATGCTGGTCTCGGATGCACCGCCTCACCTCTCCTCCACACCTCGTGTCACCACATATGTATCAACACAATAAAGAAGGAGCTTTTTGCACCTAAAAAAATGATCAGCATTCCTTGCTTGCTTTCCCCCTCTTGGAAAACTCACTTAAACAAGCACATGCAGTTCAGAAATCAAGATGTACCTCTTTGACTTCAGGCGACAGGATCACATCACTGATGTAGAGGATTCCCTTGGGTACCTAATTTAGTAAATATATTAAAATAAACAAAAGGTCATTAATAACCATGAAGAGGGTTTCAAGGACAGTCTGTTCAAGGCAGCCTACCTATCTACGAAAAGGGCAGAATTAGACAAGAAGAATGAATTACTTCCAGTGGCTTTGGCGTCCTGGCCTCAGCCTTAAACAGAGGAGGGGTTCACATGGAAGGGAATGGCGCAGGATGCGGGTCATCTCTCCAACTACTGCTCCCACCCCAGAAGGCTGAGATAGTGACAGCCCCTGGCCTGACAGCCTGGATTAGCTGTGAACCAGGCTCAGCTCAGAGAACCCAGTGATCTATCGTGGGTTCACAGTGGGGGAGGATTTGAATGGTCTATGATGAGTGTTTCTCAGGCGTTCAGACTGTCAGTGCCTCAGAACCAAGCCCTCCCTGCTTCCCCTGGCACCTTCCTAGGGCACATGCTCTTCCATATTCCCCCCCCTCCTCCTCCATTGCGCTGGTCTGTTCAGCTGGTCCTACTGACCTTAATTGCAAATGTTCTCTTAACAAACAGAACCTTTTAGATACCACCTTTTTTATTTATTAACTTCCTCTCTGTTTAAATTAGTAGAGGGAATGCTTAGAATGATGGTAGGAAAATGAGGTTGCTTTTAAAAAAACAAGTCTTTTGGCTTCACAATGAATAAAAAAGCAGTGTAATTCCAAGTAGTTAGCTTTCTATGGTTCAAAAAACCCTTATTGCTATTAGCTGTACTAATGTAAGTGGCAAAATAATTATCATTTGCTGTACGGGGTCCAATATTTTCCAGACAGCAGTTTAATAACAAAGCAGACCTGTCATTTCTCCCTGTAGTTAGTCACACTATACAAGTTCAGACTGTCAAAATATATTTAAAATCTAATTTTAAAAATTCAACGTGGTCACAGCAAATCTGTATACAATAACTGCAATAAACGGGTAAGTCAATCTAGTTTTTTTCCCAGCGTGGATATGCAGTTATTTTCCTTTAATCCTCCACACTTGCATTTGGATTACCTTATAATTGTGTGAACAAATACATTATACTCATACACCTGCTGAAATCTGTAAGCTGCTGTACCCCAACACAGAATCTTTCTTTCCTTAAATTTTCTTTTAGCATAAATCTCTAATTATTTCAATTGCCCTTTATCTAGATGGTATGACTATGCATTAAAACACTTGGATAAACAAATTTGTACTCTTGTATCTGTCAGGGCTGCCCCAAATTCATTTACATTTCATGTGCCTTCATTTACATTTCATGTTAGAAATGCTTTTAAAACCTTATGGTACAAACTGCTCTTCTTTATGTAATAATATACATTAAACTTTTGCCAAACATATAACTTCTATGCAAAAAAAAAAAAACCCACAAGAAATAAGAAACACAGTTAAGTTACACATGGTGCTAATGTTATCAGTAATACCAATTTTGTTCTCCATTTGAAGTTCACGTGGTTAACCTCTAAATAAAAAACTTCCTATATAAGGTTACTTTTTTAAATCTTTAGAAACAACAGTTCTCTTGGAAATGCAAGTGACTAGATTAAGAGATTGAAGAGATTGTGGAGAGACTATTTTTATAATTCCTCTGGGGCATTGCAAACATTTGTCAAGCATCTAAGAGGAATATTTACATGAAATCATATACTTGGGAGGCCCTTTTCAATTTTAGAAAGAATACTACAGAGCAATCATTGAAACTAGGCTTTGCAAAATGCTCCTTTGCCTTCCTGACCATTTCATTGAGTGTCTTATTTTTTATGAAAAAAAATAAGACCTCATGAAATGTGATATTTGGCATCTTGCCTGAAATCTCATAAAGTAGATGGCCTTTTTAGATCACTGGTGTCATTTTCCTCAAGATGACCTCTACTCTCTGGCCACCTGGGGACCCCATCCTCTGTTATCAAGGCATTTACTTTCAAAAGGTGGGGAGAGACAGATTCTGTTTGCACACCTGAATGGAGTCCAAAAGCCATTGCAATTTCTCTGTTCTCTTCCCCTTCACCCAGGCCAGGCACTGGAGAAGGGCAGTGGGCACCAGAGGGGGCTCCCACAGGAGTGGGAGAGGAGGCTTTTGAGCTGGGCTGAGATGGTGCAGTCTAAGCCGGACATCTGCCAGACAGTGCCTCTAACAGTTGAATCTACTTACCTAACAATTAAATACTACTTTTTAAATAGCTTAGTGAATATGCAGTGATATTCCAAGGAACTTTAAAAAGCTCTCCGTTAGCCCGTACAAGGCAGGGAATGAACATCAACAGTGTACCCTGAAAACATGAAACAAAGGGTCAGGGTGTGTCCCTGAACCTCCCCACATCATGCCAAGTCAGGGAAGATCATTCATTCTAAGACACGTTTCAGGCTATGTTCTGTTCACGCCTACTGAAACACAGAGTAGACCAATTAACACTGCCCTGTGATCATTTTTATTTCATAAGGTGGAAACTGCAGGTTTAGCTTTTAATAGCGTCCCCTCTACAACGTGTTACTCTAAAGGGTTCTGTAAATAAGTAAGTAGATAAATAGATGGGTAGATGGATAAATAAATGGCAGGTGACAGAACATGTTAGATTCACTGCCTGAAAGTAGACAGACTCAAATAGCATCTTTTAACAGACTTAATCTTAGGATAACCACAGGTTTTCCCCAAATTCTATCAAAAAGGGTTTTAGTGTAATCTGACAGTGT